GCCCTCATGGCCTCTATGGCCGTACCTTCGTCGGCGAACTCTTTGGTCAGCAGTTTTTTATTTCTTCCCAAATAAGCGGGGTTGGTTCTCCACGAGCCCCCTTACGAACTCAGACGCTTTTCCCTTTGTGGCATCGTATGCCAGGTACAGGGTTTCTTGGTCCGAGAGCTCGTAGATGGTTCAGCTCTTCTCGAGGATTGCCAGCCAGTTCTAAACTCCTTCCCTGCTGCCATCAAATACTGGGACCCTCGGTCCACCCAACAGCTTCCTTTAGATCCACTGACAACCCCCTGCCCTACTTCTTCTTCACCCCCACTGCTCTATCCGACTCATAATCTGACATGTCTACAGAGAAAGACAGTCTATATAGCAACAATCGAGGTTGGGGAAACAAAACAAGGTGTCCTACCTTACAGACGATTCTGTTCCTTCTTTCCTTTGGTCCCGGTCGTTCTGATTTCTGCTTGAACTTTCAGCAACGGCGGTCGATCGTGGTCTTCTCAGGGTTGAAATCCCTCGGTCACCACGGCACCATATATGACGTGGTTGTCTCAGGGTTGATCCGTTGGTCACAGCACCACTTGTGACGGTTACACCCTGGCCCAGTGTCGGATCCTTTGGTTACGGCGCCGACGGTGACGTCGCTCCTCCTGGTCGCTCCTCCTGGGTCCAAGCGTGCCGCTCCAACCCTCTGGTCAGATGATCACCAGCCTCGCCTCTCCCGACTCGCTTCCAACACCTGGTCACTAAAGCAACTGTACCGATCTCCCGGTCTGTCTACCCACGCTGTGTTTAGATCTTAGACAGACGGGACCAGCAGGGGCTGGGGCCGATACGAGCTGAGTCCGACGGGGTGGCGAAACACAAAACAAAAAACTCACGACACCAACAAAATTGCTGATAAAAAAAGGGTAACAACCTTTTATATCTCAATGTCTATTACATAAAAAAACAAAATAGTTCTCACTTCCCGACCCGTTCTGTGAACTATGGCACCAAGTTTCTATCACAAAATAGCAAAAAAATGTCGAACTACCTACTTTCTAGAATCATGTATGTATGTCGGCGTGTGGTTCAGTTCGACATTGGGCTAATTTCTATCGGTCGTTCGCAGTTGGTTCTTCTCTTCGACGTGGGCTGTATTTCTTCTTCGTTTGTTTAGACTGGTAGATTTTTTTGTTTCAACCCAGTGGAAGATTTCTTGCTTCGATTCAGTAGAAGATTTCTTGCTTCGATTCAGTGGAAGATTTCTTGCTTCGATTCAGTGGAAGATTTCTTTGCTTCAATTCGGTGGAAGATTTCTTGTCTCTCAATTCGGTGGAAGATTTCTTTGTCTTCAACTTGGGCTGGAAGGATTTCTTGTTTCGAGGATTCTTCTGTCGTCCGAGGGTGAACTGCAACTCACGCCCAACCCAACTCCAACTTCAACTCAACTTCAGCTCCAACTGATTTCTGCCGACTGGGGTCCTGCTTATATTGACGCCGCAACAAGCCGGGGTGGGTCGGTCGGCGTCAGGGGTTTCTCGATAATTTCAAAAGCCGTATTAATTTTGACTTTCCATTATCGTTATTGTTTTCACCCCTACTTTCTCACAGTGCTCTTGGGGGGGGCGGCGCATATCTATTTCTCTTAGTCTCTCTCATGTCAGGTGATCGCTCTCAACCAATCGTTCCCGATCGAACCTTTCTTTCTCTTTCCTTGCTTTAGGATCGTTTAGTACATTCTTAGTGAATTATTTTCAACCCAGTTATTTTCCGTTTTAAAGAAAAAAAAATTAACAACCTGTTTAATAAACTGAATAAGAAAAAATTAACTCATATTTCTATGAATATTTCCAATAAATGCAAGGTGCCATACAATGAAATCGCCATTGGCTTCAAAAAACGAACTCCAGACGGCTTCTGAATCTCCGGCAACTCCTCTGGATAGTTTCCTTGTTTAAGTTGGTGAATACTGAAATAAACTTCAGTTCTTTCGTCTTACAACGTGTTTAATATTTATTGTATTTTTACCAATTTTAGAAGAAGTTTTGAATATTTTGTTCAAAATTGTAGATAAACTGTCCCAAGTTCATATTATGTTAGTGTGTTGGCCAAGTGTTTTTGGCCTTCTCAATCATTTTCAGGAACCAATGTGTACCACTGTGCAGTAAACCGAATTCCTTTTTCTGTAACTGGTATTCTTTAGAATCCTTGAATTCCAAAATCTCTGGTCCCCATCTTTCTTTTCTGGATCCTTCTAATAAGAAAAAACTTCTTATTTCTAACGTTAATAAATCATTCATTGTCTGTCAAGGAGCAATGTTACCGAAAATAAATTTCAGGTAGATCCTGGAATATATCGATCAGAAGTGGATGATTTTAAGAAAAGTTAAAGTATTCGCAGTCAAAGTTCATGAAAGATGATGACAAACCTTAGAGGTCACTGTCAAAATAAAATATTTCTGGTGGAAAAGTATATTTAAAAAAATGATTTCGAGATCAAGGTGATCTATAAATAAATAAAATAATAAAATAAAATATATAAACATGGAAATTAAAGGAAATGTTTGATGATTTTTTTAAAATTCCATCTGCTTCCGATTCTTCTTCCTAATTGAGGAAGAAAGGCGGGAAATCTCGCCGGTTAACGTCTGCTCCATAAGAAAGCTTCACGCGACTTTAATATGGACGGAATCAGTAATTGATGGGAGTAGCTTCGATCGTGCGTAAATAATACGAAGGCCTAACGGTTTGCACTCGGATTTATCACACGAATAATTGTCAAACAATATTAGAACTTAAAAATCAGAGGCCGTTAAAATTTATATATCCGTGCATATTGTTGTGGACGTGCATATACACACGTTCTGGGTATGACGATAAACTACCTCCTTGCAGCAAGGGCCCTGATCGGGAGATTTTGAGGAGCGTGGTACCATTTCTTAATTGCTGTTGTCCCCAGATCCTCCTGACTCGAAGTGGTAGCACCTGTTAGGGTCCCAGCTATGGGTAAATAGTTAAGAAGAAAAAATACATTTTTGTAAAATAAATTATAAATGGTCCCAAGAAAAGTAAATTTTGTCATTAAATGATCCATAAAACATTGATATACCGTTAAGGAAACAAAACAAATCATATGGACAACCAATATATATATATATATATATATATGTGTGTGTGTGTGTGTTTGTGTGTGTGTGTGTGTTTGTGTGTGTGTAAAGACATGTATATATATATATATATATATATATATATATTCATATACATACATATATATAAATATACTTACATATATATAAGTACGTATATGAATATATATATATATATATATATATATATATATGCACTCACATACACACACCTGCATATATATATATATATATATATATATATATATATATATATATATATATACCAAGCTACCATTTTCAGAAAGGAAAACATTAACGATAAAAAAAAGACATACATAGGGATATCCGCTGGAAAGTGAAGATAGAGACTATACATTCACCGACATTCCTTTTCCAATTCTTTGTTGAGAAATCAAACTGCTCTATCCAAGCATTATTGGAAAGTTTATTAGTTTAGGAGAGATAAAAGTGGATACAATATATTAAGAACTACTACGGGGAGGAAATTGTGGAGAGTCATGACCAATAATGTCCTGAAAGCACATAGAAGAAGATTACACTGCGACGGGAAAAAGCACAATTTATGTAGCAGAAAGACAGATTGTGGCAAGTGGTTTAATTATATATTATGCTAATGGGTATAAAGTGTACTTATGGCATTTCCACCTGACAATTGAAATAACATTTTAATTTTCTTAGATGCAGAATTATAATTCACTATAAAAAAAAAAAGTCTATATAGATTTTTCATGTATCTGTGACATCTTAAAAACTTAAAAAATAATTGAATGTACTCACTGGTCTCTTAATTAGGTATGAAACATGTGCATCGTCTTTTCATGTTGAATTAAATATCGTCTAATGTTAATTATATTTTATGAATATGTCCTGAAGATGGTCTACTAGACCGAAACGTCCGACGTTGACATTATATTAACATTAAAACAGCATAATTGCATATTAGGATTTTTGTTTGTTTTTTCCGTATATTTTTCTTCATACTGTCGGATCTATATCCATATATTTGCTTACATACATACATACATACATACATACAGATAGATAGATAGATAGATAGATAGATAGATAGATGGCTGGTATTAATAAATCAGTGCTCGGTATAATAATATATATATATATATATATATATATATATATATATATATATATATATATATATATGATTCCTCACCGGTAGCATAATCAAGGGGGGTGCAGTCTGGGGAGTTAGGAGGCCAGATGTAACGGGCGATGTAGTCGCAGAAATTGTTTTACTGCCATGACGGGGTTCTCCTGCTAGTGACAATGTGCATAGTCCTGTTGCCATACATACGGTCTTTCCTCATCGACCCTCTAATATTAATACACACGTTCCTTCGCTTATATATACTTGTTGCAAAATAAAATCACTATATTTGCCATAATAAAGTCCATCAGGTGAGGAAACAGGTCGGCGTATATAATTCTTTTTTTTTTGTATCTATTCACTGTGTTTTATTTTCATCAACATTGAATTTAATAACTACCAGCATATATTCAGTTCTACTAAAAGAAAGACTGTTCATTCCACATGAATTTCACCTGTATCCACTTTATCACCAATTCGGCAACGAATACCGTGTTAATAGAATCGTCAAGTCACGGTGGATTAATGGATAGCGGATTGGATTGAAGAATCGGAGAGCCGAGTTCGAATTCCAGTCGAATCCATTACGTTCACTTACGTGCTAATACCATTGGGAAAGGTGTGAATCCTCTTCTTCTCCCTCCAGCTATGGGTAAATAGCAGGAGCGACTGGGTTCTATAGCCTTGGATAGCAACTGGTCTAGGAGAAGGAAAACTCTGAATTCAAAACCTGCGGAAGGCCGTTTGGGGACCTTGTGGCACGTAGTGCACCAGGTCTCTGTAATCGGCCCTTCAAAAAGTGTGGATGGTCCTGCACGAAACCTTCACCACTATAATCAAATCTCATATGCTATACATGCGGGTTGGAGACCGCTTGGGAATTCCAAATTCCCATGAAACTCCAATATTGGAGCCGGCTCAACCCACCCCGGGTGAATGCCGTTACAGGTACAGGTTAAGCCCTTAGTCCAAAGAAAAAAAGAAACCTTTGTAGGTTTGCCTTCTCTCTCTCTCTCTCTCTCTCTTTATATATATATATATATATATATATGTGTGTGTAAGTATATATATATATATATATATATTCATCCACAGACAGCCTGTTTCGCTGTGTCACAGCTCGTCAGTGTGGCTAGATATGCGATGGCTTCAATTCTCGGGATCGAAATTCGACCGATTTGATATCAGTCAAAAACACTTACCCCTAGGCTATCGGCGCACTTAAAAAGGGAATTTTTAACGCATCATACATGATATATAAACGCCATACCAGTCGCCATAACGTCCAATTCTTACGAAGAGTGTGTGTGTGTGTGTGTGTGCGCGCGCGTTTGTTTTGTATCGATATCATATTCTCTTAAGATACTAAATAACTCTAAAATGATACAAAAAGGGATATAATCCTATTTATACAAGTAACCTAAAAGTTTATTATCAAATTTCGACCTATAAACTTTATAATACACCAAACTTCATTTACATAATGGCTAACTTGCTTCCCGACGCATAAAGGCTTCAAGCAAAAACCAATGTCTGACACTCTAAAAGACCATATGTCTGCAAATTTACATATCTCTGATGTTAGTTTTTTAATCCCTGTCAGCATTATTTTTATTTTTTTTATTTTTTATCAATTTGTAGTTTTCTTCTGGTCGTGTTTTGAAGATTAATAATTTTTCTCCCTCCCATGAGAAACCAAACAGCTCCACCTGGTGTGAAATGAAGATATTAGCGAGGAGGTTTTTTTATGCAAATTTATTTTAAAGAGAATCTGAGTTGCATATCCAAAACATCTCACATTAACAAACTGATATGCTCCGCTGTACATAAATATTTACTTGTCAGTTCATGTAACACACACACACACACACAGGTACTCGCTTGGAAAAACCTTCGATAGTTCGACTTGTAGTAGAACAAATCGGTACCCAAGGGAAAATAAAGAATAAAAAAAGAACCAAGAACATTAAAATAAGGCGAAAACAATCGTACAGTGTTCAATCTCAAAGTCCAAAGAAAAAAAAAACCAGGACGTGTAAAAGGCAACTACGTAAAGTGCTCAATACGCGAAGTAGCATTATCTTATATATATATTTGAAAGAGAGAAAAGCCACAAAAGTTTTGGATTTCTGTCTATATCTCTGAGATGAGGTATTATGATTACTTACATTATTAGGACTGTTAGTCTCATTTTTATTGCCATATTCACAACGTTTCGGCTGTTGTACGCTTCGACCTTCTTCGGGTTATTGGAATTTAGAACGTTGTGAATATGGCAATGAAGATGAGGAGATCCATCGCATCGTGTAGATCTGTTAAAATGAGATGTCAGAGTTATTTTCTTTTTTACGTCATTTAGACGAAAATGTATCCATCGCATCCTGTCGATCTGTTAAAATGAGACGTCAGAGTTATTTTGATATTTTGCGTCATTTAGACGACAATTTATCCATCGCATCCTGTAGATCTGTTAAAATGAGATGTCAGCGTTATTTTCTTTCTTTACGTCATTTAGACGACGATTTATCCATCGCACCCTGTAGATCTGTTAAAATGAGATGTCAGTTATTTTCTTTTTTACGTCATTTAGACGACAATTTATCCATCGCACCCTGTAGATCTGTTAAAATGAGATGTCAGTGTTATTTTCTTTTTTTACGTCATTTAGACGACAATTTATCCATCGCACCCTGTAGATCTGTTAAAATGAGATGTCAGTGTTATTTTCTTTTTTTACATCATTTAGACAACAATTTATCCATCGCACCCTGTAGATCTGTTAAAATGAGATGTCCGTCTTATTTTCATATTTTGCTTCATTTAGACGACAATTTATCTAACGCACTCTGTATGAATTAATGGATTTTATTCTTTTAATAAAATTCATTTTTCCTATAAACCTGCGCAAATTCTATTGGTTCGTTCCAGCTGCTGGGGGTATTAATGTGCATGTTGTGTTTCATTGCGCTTTAAGAACTCTAAATGAATAATAACCCAATGATCCCAACACACGCACATTATCTTTCTCCACTGTTTTTGCAATCAACATTGTCGTATGCAATCTACTTTTCATCTTGTTATACTAGAACATACCTATTCTATTATTAATAGACTCTCCCACATATAATAAGTAGTAGCAGTCACCAGAGGGGGCTCAGTAAGTTGGTGAGTCAGTCGATGTCGGACATTAAAGTATCAACCACCACAACTAGATCGTTGCGTCATTAACTATTATTTCAAGTTCCTAACGTTTTGTACGTCGAACCTTTTTTAGGACCGACTTAGTGAAATACAAGCCTCCACTGTGAAAACTACTCTACAACACACATCTCTTTTCATTCATCATTACAACTGGTCTCTAAAACAAGAAAATTATGTAATTTAATAACGTCTCCTATTGGCTGCATCTTAACTCACGTTCAGTCGATGACGTACTGACGATAATTGCGGAAAGAGCCTATCATGCTGTAGATAAAAACGGTGAAGCCTGAACTGTAGTATTGGATATCTCGAAAGCCTTTGACAGAGTCTGGCATTCAGGTCGTCTCCCCAAGCTAAAAAGAAAACCCGAGCAAAAACAGGTAAACATGAAATACCAAACATAAAAAGGAAAAATTAAATACGAAATAAATTTTTGAAGGTTTTTTAATCATTTGTAGTTTATTTAAAACCAGGCAGTATTTTTAGATTGAAATAATTTCTTTAGTAATGTTAATGATTTACTGACACAATTTCTATTAATTGAGCCATAGCTGAGGGAGAAGAGAGAATTCATACCTTTCCCATGGGTATTTGCGAATAGATGTTTATAACGACCCGACTAGAATTGGAACTTATCTCTCCGATTTTCAATTCCCAGCCGTTATTCATTATACCACCAGCACACCCAAGCATACAGCACCTGATATTTCCAAGCGGTCACCCATCCATGTACTGAAGAGTCTCAAAGCTACTTAACTTCGGTGATCTTACGAGAAACTGTGTTTCAGAGTGATATAGCTGTAAGCCACGAAAGAAAAAAGATGATTAAATCGTTGAATTCGAGAAAGATAGTCTAAAAGCCAGCGTTCAGAAAAAAAGAAAGAAAGGGCAAAGAAAAGATTGTAAGTACTGGAAAGAAAGAAAGAAAGAAAGAAAGAAAGAAAGAAAGAAAGAAAGAAAGAAAAGATTGTAAGCCGTGTTACAGAGGGATATCGCCGTAAGCCACGAACGAAAAAAAGATGATAAAATTATTGAATTCGAGAAAGACAAACTAAAAGCCAGCGTTCAGAAAGAAAGAAAGAAAGAAAAAAGAAAGAAAAAAGAAAGAAAGAGGCAATGGAAAAGCAATCAAGCAAGAATTGTAAGAGGGGAAAAGAAATAAAAGAGACTATAACAAGCCGAATATCATAAAGAGTGACAGGCTATAAGAAAGAAAGAAATAAAGGAAGGAAGAAGGAAAAGTAGAAAGAAAAAAAACAAAGAAATAAAAATATAATAGTTGAATAAAACGCGAAACAAAGAAAGTAAGAAAGTTTAACAGAAATCGAGAGAGAAGGCAATATCAAAGGAAAAGTAGGAATGAAATTAAAAAAAAAGTATAGCAAAGGAAAAAATGAAAAACGAAAAAAAGGTAATTCAAATCACCTAATTTTAGACATTTTGAAATAAAAAAAATATACAAACGATAAAATATTGAATGAAGCGCAAAGTTTAAAAAAGAAAATGTCTTTGAAAGATTTCATTATTTCAAATCCGAAATAAAGTAAGAAGGAAAGGAAAAAAATTAGAAGGTACATCTAAGACTTGCTGAATGAAAGAATAATGAAAACACAGTGCAGCAAAAATAGACCCCACATTTTAAGCTGTCACTTGAGTGTTTCTCGAGAACTTGGACAGGTGACAATAGTGTCTTCTTTTAGTTAAGATCTTATCGTTTATATTTCAGTTACCATCATGGTTTCGACTAGTGTACACCGTGCATTTGCTGTTGAAACGAACTTTAAGACAGTCATCTTTTAGTGCTCATTTCAGGTTACATCAAATGATGCTGTTCCGGACAGAAAATCGATACTGCTATGGATTGAAAATTTCAAGGTCATAGGTTTAACGCTTAAAAGAATCTGTAACACCTCGATGTGCTCGACTTCCGGCCCATGGAAAAACTTTAATAATCGTCTACAGTGTATGGCGAATAGAAGTCACAATTTACAGGGTGCCATTTTACAAATGAAAGGAATACAACCTGGAGCATTGTGTTTAAATAACAGTGAAATAGTTTTTGCAATGACCGTTCCTTTGGTCTTTTCGTCAACCATTAAAATGAAGGAGGTATTTCTGCCCCACCCTGAATAAAACTAAAGCAAACTTTTCAAGGTTCCTTGATGGAATGAAATAATGAAAAGAAAGGAAAAAATGAAAGAAAAAAGATATGATTTTATCTGCAAATGTGAGAAGGCGAGAAATGCGAAGAGAAACAAGGAAAAACGAAAGAACGAAAAAGAAAGAGAGAGAGATATGCGAACAGAAAGAAAGAAAAAGAAATTTGAAAAGAAAGAAAAAGAGGAAAATGCGAAAGAAAAAGAAAGAAGGAAAGAGAAAGAAGGAGAGATATGCGAACAGAAAGAAAGAAAAAGAAAGAGAAATTCGAAAAGAAAGAAAGAAAAGAAAGAAAAAGAGGAAAATGCGAAAGAAAAAGAAAGAACGAAAAAGAAAGATAAAGGCGAAGAGAAGGAAAGAGAGGAAAGACAAAGAAAAAGAAGAGAAAGAAAAAGAAAGAGAGAAATGCGAACAGAAAGAAAGAAAAAGAAAGAGAAAGGCGAAGAGAAGGAAAGAGAAAGAGGAAAATGCGAACAGAAAGAAAGAAACAGAAAACGTAAAAAGAGAGAAATGCCAACGGAAAGAAAGAAAAAGAAAGAACGAAAAATAAAGAAAGAGAGAAATGCAAACAGAAAGAAAGAAAAATAAAAAAAAGGAAGGAATTCAAATGGAAAGAAAGAAAAATCAAACATGCAAAATGGAAAATGGAGGAAAGAAGAAAGTAAAAACTAATAATTAAGAGAAAGATATTTTTAAAAAAAATGGAGAAAAACGAACGCTTAAATCGTCACAGGTTAGGAGAAATCAAGGTGAAAGAAAGAAAGAAAGAAAGAAAGAAAGAAAGAATGAATGAATGAATAAAACAAACAAACAAACAAAGAAAAAAGAGAAGAAAGAAAATCTAAAAGAAAATCTAAAAATGAAAGAAAGACAGAAAGAAAGGAAAAAGAAAATCATTTGAAATGGATAAATAAAACTTAAATAAAAGTCGGAAAAAACACAATATATATATATATAAAACGAAGGAACAGATTCTTTTCTTGCAATTCCCGCCCTTGGAACTGCCTTTCGTTTACGTGCTTCTCTGATAAATACAATCTTCAAAAATTTAAATGCAACCTCAATCGCCATTTTCTTTCTTGAATTCATTTCAGTTCATCTTTTGTCTTCCCTGATTCCTCCATTACTTAATCTTTTCTCTCACTTTCACTCTCTGTAACCCTCTGCATACTATAGCATTCCCCCACACACACACAACCACACACACATATATATATATATATATATATATATATATATATATATATATATTTTTCTTCGGAAAAACAAATCGAGTTCTGTTACTGTGTGTTTATCTAAAAATAAACACGCTTCATCCCTGCCGTGCGCCAACGGCTTAGTCGTAGAATCCCCCTGACTGATGCCAATTCAGTCGGGTTTCCGTCCTAGCTAGAGACAACCGGCCGTCTAGCCACACTGATGAGATGCGAAACAGTCTGTCTGTGGATGACTATATATATATATATATATATATATATATATATATATATATATATATATATATATGCGATGAGAACGAAAGTAATATATAAATTCCAACGTTCACTTCATTAATCCAAAAGAGGGCCCGATACCGATAGTAGAGCGATAATTACATATTTATTATAATTTTTAAAATAAATATTATATATATAAATATTATAAGGACGCTACTTACCAACAAACAGTAATTTTAATTTATTTGTAACAAACAGTTATTTCTGATGAAAAATTGAGGACAATTTGAAATATCAAATATATATATAAATAAATAAATACTTTCATAAAATAAAACATTATAATTTTTAATTTGAAACTTTTTCTATATATACATATTAAGAAAGTATACGTGGCTTCTCATTATGCTATATATATATATATATATATATATATATATATATATATGAGCTTTCTTGAAGGAACTAAGTAAAGAAAGAATAAGAAAGAATAAAAATAAACAAGGAAAGAAAGAAAAAAATTGGCTGAACGAATGAAAAGTGAATAAAAGAAGACAATTCGATTGATGGCTAAATCAAATTCTTGAACAGAAAGAATTGCAAGAACGAAATTACTCTGACATGCATTTACACTCTGTTAGGAAGAATCTCCTCCAGCCTCCCGCTTGTAAAAGCTGAATGAAAGGAAGAAAATTGGGCTCCGGCAATAGGCGGCGCTTCCATCAGTGTCATGCCATCACTCGGCCCGTCGAAATGCACTTGATCTGTCCATCAAATTGTTTCGAGATGTTCACTTTCGCATTTGCACGTCCGGTGAAATCTGGCTCTCCAGTCCCGTTCTTTTAATAGTAGCACCTATGACGGAATACCGGCAGTTCGAATGGCGTATGAAACGGCCAGCCACAACTAATGTCCGTGTTAGCGAGACTTTACCCACACACCCAACTCACATGCTGGAATCCAGATAAGCCACTCTGAGCGATCACCAAGCGAAAGGAACTACCGTCTTTAATAATCGTCTTCCTTCTTTTTCTTTTAAAATCTTATACATTTCTACTATTTTTCTCGTTTGTCATCTTCTTTGCATACTTGCCGACTTTATCATATCCTATTTTTCTTTCTTTCTTTCTCTCTGTCTTTCTTTCTCTCTTTCTTTCATTACTCACGTGCTTACACTCTTTATTTCTTTCCCTACTCAAGTGCTTATAATCATTCTTTCTTTCTTTCTTTCTTTCTTTATTTCACTACTCCAGTGCTTACAATATTTTCTCTGTCGTTCGTTTCTTTCTTTCTTTCTTCCTTTCTTTCTTTTTTCAGTACTCCACGGCTTACAATTTTTCCTTTGCTCTTTCTATTTCTTTCTTTCTTTCTTTCTTTCTTTCTTTCTTTCTTTCTTTCTTTCTTTACTCCACTGCTTGCAATCTATCATTTGTTCTTTCTTTCTTTTCTTTCTTTCTTTCTTTCTTTTTTCTTTCTCTACTCCACTGCTTGCAATCTATCATTTGTTTTTTCTTTCTTTTCTTTCTTTCTTTCTTTTTTTTTCTTTCTTTCTTTCTCTACTCCACTGCTTGCAATCTATCATTTGTTTTTTTCTTTCTTTCTTTCTTTCTTTCTTTCTTTCTTTCTTTTTCTTTCTTTCTTTCTTTCTTTACTCCTGCTTGCAATCTATCATTTGTTTTTTCTTTCTTTCTTTCTTTCTTTTCTTCTTTCTTTCTTTTCTTTCTTTCTTTCTTTCTTTCTCTACTCCACTGCTTGCAATCTATCATTTGTTTTTCTTTCTTTCTTTCTTTCTTTCTTTCTTTCTTTCTTTTTTCTTTCTTTCTCTTTACTCCACTGCTTGCAATCTATCATTTGTTTTTCTTTCTTTCTTTCTTTCTTTCTTTCTTTCTTTCTTTCTTTCTTTCTTTCTTTCTTTACTCCACTGCTTGCAATCTATCATTTGTTCTTTCTTTCTTTCTTTCTTTCTTTCTTTCTTTCTTTCTTTCTTTCTTTCTTTACTCCACTGCTTGCAATCTATCATTCTTTCTTTCTTTCTTTCTTTCTTTCTTTCTTTCTTTCTTTCTTTCTTTCTTTCAATGTTGACAACCTTTTCTTTCTCTCTTTCATTATTTCTTTCTCTTCTCGCTTTCTTTTACTTCTCAATTTCCCTTGTTAATTCCTTTAATTTCCCTTTGCTTCTTTCTTTCATTCACTACTACGTCTTTTCTTCTTTCTCTTCTCTTTCTTGCGTCACTTTTCCATACATTCAACTCATTTGACGCCTTTTTTGTTTCTTATACATCTTTTCCATCACACTTTATATTTCCTTCTTTCTTTTCTTCTTCTTTTCCTTTCTATGCCGCCATATTATTTTTCCATCTTTGTTTTCCCTTCTTTTTTGCCTTTTTTCTTATATTTCACTTCTTTCATTCGGTTTTTCTCCCCGACCATCACCACATTTCCAATTTATTTTACGATTTTCTCTTTTACTTTCTTCTCTTTCAATTTCCCATCTTCTTTATCTTCATATCTTTCTTCGTAAATTCTCCCTTTGCTTCTTGTCATATAATAAGATTTGCTTTCACGCACAGAGAAGCGAACACAGCTTCGTAAATGAGTAGCAATTTCAAAACTTTCTCCCTCGGTTAAAACGCGTTGTTAACATTCACAGCATTTTTTTTTTTTTACTTTGATTGCCTACACCAGGACGTAGGCAATTTTGACTCTCCAAAGATTCCATTTCGTTATTTGTGAATTAGTATTATGCATCCTTTTGAAAGGATAGTGGAGAGGGTGGTCTCCCGTTCTCTTTTTCGCAATTGGAATTCGGAGTTTTGCTTCTCTTGGAAAGATAACGATCAAAATCTACTCAGCTAATTAAACCCCAACCTAGAGTAAAAGAGATGGGTTCATATCGTTCCAAAGGTCATTTTTGAAAAGCTAACAAGTTTAGTAAACGAACCAGGAACTGGATGGCGACTCAACGATAAAAATCATTTACCTCTAGATCTTTTTGCATTAATGGTGGTAAGAGCACAGGGATCTATAATGGGATCTACTTTGTTCTTTATTTTCGTCAACGACCTTCTCCACATCGAATCAACGGATCCTGATGATACAAATATTTAGTCCTGTCTTAGATTATCCTTAAGACACGAAGAATCTGTTAGATTTATCTTATCAATCAGACTTATTAGATTTAAGTTCGAGGGCTCGGATTGAGGAATCAGAGAGCCGAGTTCGAATTCTAGTCGAATCCATTACATTTACTTACGCGATAATACCCTTGGGAAAGGTATGAATCCCCTTCTTCTCTCCGCCCCCTACAGTTATGGCTAAATAGCAGGACAGACCAGATTCTATAGCCTTGGGTGGAAACTGGTCTATCGTAGTAAGAAATAGCAACCTACTGCGGGAAAAAATATGCCTCGTCAGGGATATAAATTTAAAATTTATATATGAGTCTGTCCGGGTCACATTACTTAGCAGCACCTAAGGACGAAGGTACTAAATTTTAAAAAATTTCCAACACATTTGAAAAAAACCTACCACTATGATGAAAGATATTGTATTTAATGAGGACTTTTTTTGTTTTGTTTCGTTTTTTGTTTTTTGTATAAGAATAGCTTTAAGCATCTAGAGACATTCTTTACACTTAGTGTTTACTGTATCACTTACGTGGTAATACCCTTGGGAAAGGTATGAATCCTCTTCTTCTCCCTCCAGCTATAGGTAAATAGTTGGACAGACCGGGTTCTATAGCCTTGGATGACAACTGGTCTACGCAGAAAGAAATGGCAAGATACTGCCGGAAAAGAATCAGCTTCGTTAGTCTAGGCGTGTATAGCACATAATTGACTGAAAGTAAAATTGGTAGCTTATTCCGAAGATGAACTTCAAACTTGTGTTAACTGCGGCAAGAAATGGCATGCGAACATTAAGCCGTCACAAAGAAACTTGTATCTCCCCGAACTCATGTCGCGCTCAGCAGATCTGCTCTTTTGGCAAATGCGGCCACACGGCAATGTCTATTTCCACTCTCATCAGTCACAAACCTACTATCAATAGAAAATTTTCTTTTATCAAAGCACTGATTTGTTTCGTGATTTTCTTCGCGATGTCCCTTCGAATGATATTTTTAATAATCCTTAATTCTTTATCTTCAACATCAAACTCATTATTTTTGAAGCCTCTAAACCAATCTCTGCATGTTGTTT